TTTTGTATTATATTTTTTTAATTGGCAATTAATTTTTTTAATTAATTCATTTTTTTTTTTTGCTTAATTGTGAACATTTTAATTGAGGAATGCTTTTCAGTGAGTTTTCCGTTCTGTGTGGTGGATCTGTTTCAGATTCTGATTACTAAAGAAAGCCTTGTTCTTTCACTGTTAAATTTATTTTTGTTGTTATTTAGAAAAATGCCGTTGCTTTGATTTTCAAGTCATTTCCATTGCTTAGTTCTTAGCAATATTATAATCAGGAGTATGAATTGAATTTATTTCTCTGTTTGGGTACCCAATATATGGCGCGCAGGCTGCAAGTTCTTTGGTTCGATTTATTGTCATTATAGAAAGGGGGGGAATTGACTTAAAAACAAAATGCACGGGGGTGAGGGAGGGTGTTGAGAGGTCCCGAAGCAATTTTTTTTTCTTTCTTTTTACTTTTTTCACTTCCCTTACCCCTTGCTCGTTATACCGGCATCAGGCTACAGCCTTGAAAAGGAAAGCCTACATCTAAATAAGATTGCCAGATGTCAAATATTTAATAATAAATATTTCTAAACAGTTTCAATTCTGAAATCACATTGCTGTTTTCACGATATTAGTTCTTACTAAAACTATTAAATGGCACTGTGCTCATTTCTCTTTAGAACAACGTTCAGTCTTTAAATCAGAATTTATCATTTTGACAAGAAGTCTCTGTCCACGTTGGTTTCAGCATGTGTGTTTGGTTTCTAAGTTCTGCAAAGATTATCATTATGAATGTTCGTAAGTTATATCTTATACCAATAAATCTGATACTCAAGATGGATCCACCTTTACCAAGTTCTAAATATTAATAACAATAACAATAATTTAAATGCTCCTACAAAAAAGAGGGGAAGAAAATCTGAAAGCTTTCAGGGATTTTTTTTAACGTTTTGTGCGCTACCTTTATTTATTAAATATCATGTTCTTCGCACTTAAACCACAAAAATACAATTCAATAATATGTTACGAATTTTGTATTTATTTATCTATTTTTAGTAGAATTTGTAATTAAAACTGTTTTATATTCCAGTGCAATACAGCACGAGACTTATTTGAAGAGAAAGCTACGCCGGAAAAATTAATATAAAGGAGCACGCGCATTTAATATTTTAATAAATGGATATCTCATAATTGTACACTTTTGCTATCCAGAAAAATCGAGAAAAAACTAGAATGTTCATTCAGAATTAAAAAGCTTATAAAAGCCGAAGAAAACCATATCAATTCAGTTGTTGTTTAAGCTTTCTCTGTTTTGAATTGAGTTCTATTAAAAAGTTTTAGTAGTTGAAAATATAATTGCGATATTGTACAAATATCTCTGAGAAAATTTCAGCATTTTGTTTTATTTCTTGGGATAATAATAAATTTTATAAACTGTGCTTTCAGTCAATTACTAACCCGTACGTACGCAACAATATTTAAAAACAGCATATACGTAGAGTTTCCGATACATAGTCTCCCGCGCTGGAGATAAAAATGATTTTTTCCCCCCCTGTACACTGTCGCCATTGCTCGCTTTGAAATCATTTAATTTCTTAATCAAAGTCATAAATGCTTTACAAAATAAGACAAATTCCAAATTTGGGCTTCCATATGCTGTTAATCTACAGTTATACTTTGTTCATAAAATAACAAATATATGTAGGTAATAGAAGTACATATTTAATTTATTTTACATTAGGAAAATATAAAATCATTCAAAAAATTATTATAAGTTTAATTACTATCATCACTTTCATGAACTATTTGTATTTTCTTGATTGGTATGATATCACTTGAACGTTCTTGTTAAGATTGTGCTTCAATGGTTGACGGATTAGGGAAGATCTCAGACTGACAAGACTTTCTAGTGAAATCCATTATTAACAATTGCCTAGTTTTCCCCCTAAATCTTTGTAAACCTCCCTTTGGAATTGGAGAGCTCATTCAACATTTGTGTCATATTGTAAAAAATGATTACCTAATTTTCTTCCCAATTCAAGTCCTACGCTGTGCTGTGAACGCAACTGGTTCAAATTGCTCTTCATTAAAATCATTGCCCTCATCATATTTATTTCTTTCATGAATAAACTAACTCAGCCTCATTTAGTTCATCAGCCATTATTTCTTCAATATCCGCCTGAGCTAAATCTTCAAAACCTTCTCCTCCTATATTTTGGGCCAATTTAGTGATCTGAGAATATTCAAGCTCTAATGGTAATAATTTACCATTCTCATCTTTAGCAGCATCCGGCTATACTGCTTTCCAACATGCAATGAGCACTGATTATTTAATCTGTGTATATGACAGTCCAACATGCTTAACACAATCCAAGATTGTAAATTTCTTTCAAGCATCCATAAGAGTAAGAGATTCATCATTCTCCATTTGTCTAAAATATACCAAAAATTTTGTTTGATATACTATGCTTTAAAACTTGAAATTATTCCTTTATATAACGGTTATAACAAGGAAGTTTTATTCTTTGGTAAAAAGACAACTTTCTACATTTTTGTGTTGTAAATCTTGAGGATGACCAGGTTATCAATAAATAGAAGAGCCTCAAAAGGCAATCCCTTTTTACTCAAGTAATTTTTGACATCTGGGACAAAAATGTTGTGAAACCATTCATCGAAAGCTATAGTAGTGACCCATGTTTACTTATTTGCCATCCAATACACAGGGGAGTTATTTATGCTTATTTCTTCAAAATGAGTGTGGCGTTTTTGATTTGTTAATAATCAGAAGTTTCATTAAACAATTGCCTGAAGCTTTGCAACAAAAAAGAATTGTTACATGACTTTTCACTACCTTATGACCACTAGCTGATTTCTAAGCTTTATCTAAATAGGCTCTTTCACGCACTTTTTTCCAGAACAACCCAGACTCATCAACATTGAAGGGATCTGATCGGAAGTGTAGGAATTGGCAGCAAATTTTGCTGGATATTGTTGTGCTGCATCCAAATCAACGGATGAACTTTTTCCTTTCAATCTTAGATTATGTAAAAAAAAGTCTGTTTAAATCTCTAAAACCAATCTTGACTTGCGGAAAAAGATACCTTTTTTACTTCCTTGTATGAAGCAAAAAGGAAGTATTGTAATTGCAAAAAAATTAAGGTATCATATTTCAACGAAAATATCCATTTTGACCGCTATTGAATGCTATCTAACGATGTTTTTGCCTTCCATCTGTACATAAAGACAGAATAAAACTCTTTTCCCTAAAAAAAATTATAAAACCGATTTAAAATGAATTCTGAAGAGAATTTTTGTGGTGTCTGTGCGTACATACGTATCTCGCATAACTCAAAAACGAGTAGCCTCAGAAGGTTGAAATTTTGTATCTAGGATTGCTATAACATGTAGATGTACACCTTGTATTTTGGTTGCAATTGGCTGCACAAAAAGCAAATAAATATATGTATATATATATATCCACTCTTATTTGGGTCAGTGATCTCAGTTTCTCTATTCTTATATGTTCGTAAATTGTGCATTTTTTTATTAAAAAATAATTGAATTATGCTGTTCTTATCTTCCGGTTAAGGTTTTTATGTCTTTAGTAAATCTGCATGCAATATTTGTAAAATTATCAACAATTTAAAAATTGTTTAAAAGCCTAATTATTTTTGCCATGGCAGCCATGTTTATTTACCTTTGAAACTTAACAGAATAGTGGATTTGTTGCCAATCTAGAGAAACTAAGCTTCACAACAACAAAGATAACACTTTCTTTTATTATTGCAAATTAAATCACGCTCAATCCATTCTGGAATTTAATCGAGGAAATAAGTGTTTAAGATTTACTTCATAATTTTTAATATAGATATTTTGAATTTTTATAGATTTTTTCTTTGCCACAAAGTGAGAAAATTAACTGAATGAGAAAACTGGATTGTCTGAAAAACTTTTGTTGTTGTTGTTGTTTGCTTAATTTCTTTTATACATCATTTTAGATTTATTATAGCATTTGAATAGAACATGGGGCAACGATTAGATAATTCTTCAAATAATATAAATTTTGTACATTCTGGGCCACAAAATGAATGAAATGTATCGCTGTTAAGTGAACCTAGCGCCAGAGTGTTGCTATGGTAAATAATTATAGTGAATTTTAAAGAGGGCATTTATTCTATTGCAGTTTATGCGCTTTCGATGAAGTAGATTTAATTCAATCCAATAAGTTTAAATAAAATGCGTGAAAAAATGTGTATAAGTTAATATTCCGTACAAGGAAGTCATGTGGTGTACACATCAGATTTTGTCATTTGACGAAGTCGATGGTGATTGATTCTTAAGTGCTTTATAAATCTTGAAATCCTTAACTGTAATAGCACTAGTATCAATTGGAATCCATTTTTGATTTTGGTCTTCTATCCATATGACTAAAACCTTTTCCATACTATCACCTGTTATATATGAAATTATGCTCTTACTGCTGCAAGTTCCAGCTGCAACACTTTTATAAAGATGCCACAAAAAATATAAATACTATCATTCCAATTTAACTTTAAATAACAAATCATCTTTTTAAGCTTCAATTTGATTAATGCTTTTAATTTGAATTTTAAGAATATTATACTTTATAATGCAAGAGACGTTGAAAAGATAAGATGTCTATCTCACCATCAAATATTAAGTTCAATCTAAGTTTCATCACACACCTGGCAGAAAGAAATGTTTCTGATTAAGCATGCTAAGTTCAACAATGATCACCAAATATATAAGCCCACTGAAAAAACTGGATTTTGTTAAAGGTCACTCACTATGTAAGGATAACTTGATGGGGAGAGAAGCTGTGATTCAGTCATTACAGACTTGTGCATAGTTTCAGGTTAGCTTGATCAAAAGTATCATTCCTTCATTAGTTACAATACAGCATCAAATACTCAAAAAATTTATCAGTTGAATATATTAAAAATTAGTCATTTAAATTATATCAATTAGATAAAAGTTAAAAAATAAAGATTTAAGTTCCACAGAAATACATTAACTGCTTTTAATATCACTAGTTTATAAAGCATTACATTTAAAATTTTGAAAGATCATATGTCCCACGGAATGACAACTCAAGAAATTGGTTATTTATGAGACTATGAGGAATGCAAATCAGAGATCTTACATTTGTACAATGATAACATTTATCAACTTCAGTGGATAATAAATACATACAGCATAACATACCATAACATAAAATTAAAAAAAAAAAAGTGTGTGAGAATTTCTAGCTTCAAAACCAATAATTACAAATATGGCATATACTTTATTAGGACTAAGCAATCAATAATATGTAAATAATGTTATTTATATTTCTCAAACAGAAAAGACAAACTATATACAAGTGTGAGAAAATATATATTAAATAAAATTTCCAAATATCAGGTGAAAAGTATTTAATTTATTTCAGCATTTATAAGAAATTTTATACAGTCAAATAATCTGTATAAATGATGGTGATTGTGAAATAAGTAACTTGACTAAATATTAAAATTTTACTGTAAAAATCATCTGCATGAAACAAAAACTCAACATTCCTTTAAATGACTAATATAATCATACTGATAACAAAAAGTTCCAATTTTTTAAAATAAATAACTCAATTTTAAAAAAATGCAAATGTCCACTCTGACTTAAGAGGAAACTAGGACAAAATGGTACCTGTATAAAAGGTTAAATATATAAAAACATACTTAAAAGGAAGTATTAATCTCAAAGTGCTGCAACTCTGCAACTTGACACAATGTTGGCTAACACACTTAAAACCTTGGCAAATAAAAACAATATAAATTTTGAAATCAGAACAACATTTAAAGCTGGAAACTATTCAAAGCACTTATGCAATAATTGATAATGTTTTCATATTAAAACACTTTACACAATAAAACAGCAACTAATGATTTAGCATAAAGATTAACTATGATACTAACAGTAAAAAACACTGGCTAAATTTAAAAGCAATTTCAGTATCAAAATGTTTAATTACTACTGTCTGAAATTACATGATAAAATCTAAAACAAAATAATCAATTTTAAGATTTTCAATTTAATTACATATGAAAGAATTTGAAGTATTTTGACTGTACTCAATTTCTTTGACAAAGTGGCAATAATTATAAAAGAATAAGTATAATTTATGGTTAAATTATGCAAGAAAAAATTAAGCCCATAATATCTGACACATATAAATATCTTACATTAGCATACATCATTTAGTTAATAATTTTATCACTTCCTTTTTGAAGCTTTTAAATAGTAAAAAGTATCCCAAGATGAATTATTTCACAGTCATTGCTAACTTATTCTTACTTCTAGGACTTTGACAAGCATACCTTTCTTTAAATATGCATCATCTGTAAAACTGTCATAACCTAAATATATGTCACTTAAGAATAACAAATGTTTCTGAAGTATAAAAGATAATTAAGAATTAAATCCATATTAAACAATGACCTTTTTATCATACTAGTATCTAAAGCAAGAGATAATAACATACTTAACACTCTCAGCAAATGACTACTTTAATAACATAATGCCCAAACTTTGCAATCTATGCAACTCAGATGGGTCATCAAGAAAATATCACAATATTGTGCCTTTTCTACAAAAAATATTCAGCTAATGAATAATCCTTTATACCTGAGCCTGATCAAAGGAGGGTGAAGACCTTTACCTTATACTGTGCTATAAAATTTAAAAATAGTTATCTAAATTAAAGGAAGATTCGCTACTTAAATTTTAGGCCAAAGAAATTAAAAAAAAAAAAAAAAAAAAAAAAAAAATCAAAGGAATAATCTATTCCCAAACCAACTGCAATGTCTACAGATTTTAAAAAGGACACTTTTTAATTTGACTACCTTCACAGGTTGCCTGTCTTTTGACTCAAAATTCTAAGATTTCATGCCAGAATTCTTTCTCAAAGGAAGGTGTAAACATTGTCCTCCAGCTGATTCCCCCCACTCCGCAAACACAAGCAACCTGTTAATTTAATTTAAATACTAATACAGAAAGAAACAGTTTATGAATCATGTATACAAACTGTTAATTATTGCTTTTATTTAAAAACGTTTGCAAATAAATAAACAAAACTATATGTAAACAAATATGTAATCATAGAATAACAGCTAAGAAAGTTCCAGTACATTCATTGAATAATTTCTTAATAATTACAGAAATTGCAACAAGTATACAAACATTATCACATTTCATTTCAACATTTTATAGAAAACAGCAAATACTTTACAAGAGAAAGCCATCAAAACTTTTAACTTACAGAGAAAAAAAATTCTTTTGATATTATTATGCATTACATATATACTAAGCAATTTCAACTCAAAACTATGGTTTTGGAGACAATATGAAAATTAGACACTCCTTTTATCAATTCTAAAAAATGCCCAAACTAAAATGTTCACTTGTAATTTACAGCAATAATAGGAAAAAAAGGAATCGGAAGGGAATTTCTGTGAAGATACAAATCAAAAAGGAGAAAAGAAACAGAATATATATTTTATTTATTTTTTTTAAATCAATAAAAATACATGCACACCATAATTTTTATTAATATTCATATATTTAATATATAAGCAATCCGGATATTAAAAACACATCAGAGAAAGACAAGTATTTTAAATTTAGTCACTGAAACAAAATGAACAAAATTCTTTATTGCAGGCACATTAGGGAAATAAGGGATTCACGAATTTCTCAGTAAAAGTTTTTATTTAATGATCATTATGATTAACACTTGCAGAAGAAATATTATAAGTATTCACCATAAAGGAATTTCAATAAATAACAAATTTTTCATTATTATTGTTTAAGAACATAAGTATTTAACTGCTTCATGTATTAAATGAATAACTAATTCTATTCTCAAATATTTTGTTGTTATTTAACTTATTTAAATATTACCAGTGTTAACTAATTACTTTATAACTTCGTCAACTGCACTTCAAACTCAGTCATTTAACCAACTTATCTAGTTACCCTCAGAATTGAACTATAAAAGCCCTTCTCATAAATTTCAGCAATAGTTTCTGAAGAAAGAAGGGAGGGAACAAGACTTTCAAACAATTAACAACAGTTTTGAAATTCTATACAGTGAACTAAAATATGCATAGGCAAACAGAATATGAAAATAAAACGTAGTCTTACTCATAAATATATGAATGGAAAAAAAAGCTAACATCACCCTAATTAAAGATATCTCAACCTATTTTAAATATTAGAAGCATTCACATTTACATAATTGTTTGACTTTTCATCCATATTCTTTTAATCCTAATGGCAAACAATAATTGAGGAAAACTATAAATGAAAACACTTGATTATGAAAGAATTGCTTTGAAAGAAATATTCACCATCTAATAAAATCAGCTTATTTTTAAATAAAAATACACAGGAGGAAGAGGGCTTGCTTTCATGAAAATACTTTATAGTGGAAATATTCTTTCTCATCAACAATATACAAATTATAAGCTTAAATTTAACATTATAAATATATGACTGGAAGAGTCAGCAAGGCTGAATATACTTGCTTCTTTTTTTAATATATGGATTAACAATGTTATGATCAAACTGAAAGACTTAAATTCTACAGTAAATTTTTATTGAGATAGAATATCTACAAAAATTGGAAATAATCATGATTTTTAATTTATGTAAAAGATGGTGCTTTAACAAATAAATTTATCATTTAATAAACAAATTTTAAAGGACTCAAAATAAGTTTCAATAGTTCTTGATTAAAAAAGCTTATACTGCAATATCCACACATCGTAAACACCAAATTATAACAAATGTTAAGCAACGATAGTATAGTGCCTGCTATATTTGATAAGCAAGAAATAAGTTTGCATTTCAAATGGAAAAAATATAAAAAAGTAAAATTATGGTTTCTACAATAAATCAAACTACTATAAAATTATTATATTGTCCAAAAAATTACAAAAGTAGTTGCACGCATATGCACATCTAAAGTTAACGACTACGTGTTCAATTGAAAATAATAAAGCAAGTAAATAAACATCTATAATTTTTTTTTAAATGTATATGTTTATGTGAATGTAAGTCCAGCTTCCCGATAAGTAGCATATATCTTCTCTATGGAATTGACATAAGCAGCAGTTCTGAGATCAAGGCCTAGGTTGTATTTCATAGCAGTTCGCATAATAGCCTAATAATAAAGGAAGAAAGAAATGAGAAAGAAACAACGAGAATTTATATATTACAAGTGACTACAAAATCATTAAATACAGTCTTTCGAAACAATTTCAGCAAATTTTTGAAGCATAATTGACTGCAGAAAGTCTGAAATCCAGACCTGGACAAACATCAACTTTTTTCTTCTTCTTTAAAGAAATCTTTATGTATAGTTTATGCATGCGCATCTGATATTTTCTCATAATGAAATACAAAGTCTACTCTTAATTTTGCTTCACTAAATAAAATACCTCAACATTGAAGAAAAAAATCATTTATGAGCATAAATTTGTATGATCAATAATTTGGATCCCTGGCCACGTTTCTGCTCAACACACATCTCAAACTGAAATATTCTACATCCAAATATAGCTGATTTTACACCTACTAATTAATTTATATCCCTTACAACAACCTGGCAAATTATTTATTATTATTATTGCTTTCATCACCACATGGTTATCAACACAGCTTGAGAAATGACTCCCACAACAATATATAAACAATTGCAAACCAAAGAGCATGGCAAAATTTTATGTTGACATCATATCTGGTGATGATTACAAACTTCAGCTAACTACGGGGCAAAGTTTTGAATGTGACGACCAGGAAAAATTTAACATTAATTTCTTTCCATATGTAAAAATTAGACTTTGCAAATGATACTCAGGCTAAAGATTATATTTAGGGCTGTATGAATTCATAACATAAACTGTTATAAGTCAGGACTGATGCAGAGCTGGTGCAGCCATATACTGCTGGCAGAATTTAAGAGAGATTATATTTTCAGAATTCAGGGAAAGCACTGAGACACAAAATTTAAGAGTGGTAAAATTTGTAGAATTTAGGGAGCAAAATTTAGGAGCTGCAAGAGACTGCCCAGGTTGAAAATGTCTAGTGTCTGCCCTGGATAAGCCTTAAATAAATATGGGAATTTATTTCTTTGGGACTCGCGTGATAAATTTTTATGAGTTTTTTTTTAAATTTATTTTTTAACATTTTCAAACTGAGGTGAAACTTAATTTTTTAGAAACATCCTTTTGCTTCCAATCATTATTTTTTAGTAATACCTGAATTTGTCCTCTTAATTTCTCATTCAAATATTTCCTTTTATACATTTGAGTTAATAAATTTCATAAAATTGCAATGGAAAATCATCTAAGAATTAAAACAAATATAAAAAATTTAAATAACAATAAATTAAATAAAATTAACCAAATCTAAATTTATTATACAAGTGAAATAATGAAATACAGCTAAATGTTAACATACAGTCAACCTTTCTAAAAAAAAAAAAAAAAAGGATAGATAATTTATTTAAATGCAAACAAATAAAAATTGTTGCTATTACTGTTTGTTAAATAACACGCGACAAATTTAATTCATTTAACAAAATATTTGCTGAAACAAAATAAAGATGAGAAAACTTAATACACTTTTGAATAAAAGATTGAGATGATAAAGAAAAAAGATTTATAAGATTTTGCCAGGACTAATTGACTTTCACTTTTTATGCCATCTATGCTGTGCATTAAATAACAAAATGTATGCAGACTTTCTCTTTACATTACACCTGCAGATATCCATCCACAAAAGTTTTATGCAATACATGAAAATACAATTTATATACAGTCAAAAGTCTTTAATCCGGACTCGTCGGAACTTCGGCGATTCCAGACTATAGATCATCAGTTTAAATCTGGTAAGATGGTATGCAGAAATTATAAAATTAAAATATGAAACCGTAATTGATGAAATAAAGAGCAATTATGATCCAAAGGGTATTAAAATTTACAAAAAAAGCTTAATAGTTCTTTGTTTACTTTATTAAACATTTCTTTAATGAAATGTTTAATAAAGTAAACAAATAAATATTAAGCTCATGTGTAAAGCATACATTACGCATAGTCGAAATTAGAAAATTTCAAACAGAAAACTATTTGATGTGTATTCATGATATTTATAATTACGAGGAATTTGATTTAAACCATATCAAAGACGGAGTACATCGAGATGAAATACTACATTTAATAAGGAATTATAAGTCGAATAAAAAAAAACATCTGCCCTGAAGATAAGGATAGTGCTGACAAATCAACTTCCAGTTCATTGCGTGCCGCGACGTCCCGACCCTCGCAGAGCAGCATGAAATTGATAAACAGATTTCGGAATGGTTAGACAAAGAATATGCCTTTATCGATTTTTTGCAGCAACTCCTTTTTGTTTGATGGACATCGAAACATGCTTTCACTTTGTAGATCCTTTGGCAGCTCCAGAATCGGAAGTTCTTTTTGACATAATCGAAAGTTCAAGCTTACTTTTATAAAATTGCTCTAACAATCCGCAAAAAATAATAAGCCGGATCCAATTCGAAGATTAAGGAACAACGCAATCTGCAACATTAACTGAAATAGATAATTAGATAATTTTAGCTTAGCTTATACTATCTGGTATACATTAAATGCGCATACGTATACGTATTATGCGCATGCGTAAAGGTATTATGCGCATGCATAAACGAATTATGCGTTTACACACGCACAGAAAGTTTGTTGCTTTGAGGTCGGGATTATAGATCATTCTGGATTAAAGACTTTTGACTGTATCAAGGCCAATAACTGTGTTATTAGCTATGTAACATGTTAGAAGATTAAAAACAAATGACTTAAAAATTAAAAACAAATGAAATAAAGATTACAAAAATAACTTACCCGTGCAGATCTTTCCATGGTATAATCCAATCCTGAATGAACAATGTCCTTTTCTGAAGCTCCCTAAATAATTACAAAACAAACAATTTATGTATTAAAAGTACATTTTGCAAAAAATTCAGCAATTAGAAGAAATTTATTTAAGGCTATGAAAAAATTTACGTGAAAATACATGTCTGAACAAACATTATTTTTACTGTAATAAAATCTCATTAGAAACTGTCTGGTGTGAAAACAATTTGAATAACATCTTTTCTGGACAACCTAAATTTAGGGTTGTTCCTGTAAAAAGGAAATGGCTCATTTTAGTAGACATTTTAGACAATTTGAGTAAAATAACTTAAAATTTCTGTTCTATCTACATTTTCATTTACATATATGACCCCCCCAAAAAAAACTAATTACCAAATAAAAACTGCAATTATCATTTTAGCTACTAAACTAATATCCCATAGATGAAATTCCAGAACACTTGATGAAAATGATCAGCACTTTAGTTTATACAGAAGTTTTCAGCATTTTTTCGAGACAACTCATAACAACACAGTTAAAAAAAGGTTGTATAATATACCAAGCAAATATACACTCTTCTGAAATACTGTTAATATCAGGGGAGCTTATTGATGAATTTCTTTACACAAGAAGGGGGAATTCCCTTACAGTACATAACAAAAATGTGTCACTGCTCCCCTTTTTTGATATTTTATGAGTTTAAGAGAAAAATCTTTAGCACAACAATAATTTTAATAGTACTGTTCAATTAGCAGGGACTGGGTCTTGAAATGTATGCATGTATATATGGATGTATGTGCTCATGTACATGTGTATGTACACTGCAGGAAAAAAAAAAAGGAGGGATAGTTCTATACCTCTCGTTTTGGGCCGATCGACAAAATTCAAATTGCATTTCCCATATCTTGAAAGTGCGACTTAAAATGTATATTAGATTTATATATAGCATTGTTCTAACATAGGTATTTTGACAGAAAATCACTTTTGATTCTATGGCTCAAATCATGCCTAAATATTAAATTTTGAAAAAATTTGGTGCGAAATTTATGGAAAAATTAAAAATTTATCTTGGAGCATTTTTTTTTCAGTTTTCGCCAAGAATAATTCACTTGGCAAACTTCTTCATTTATTGCAACCTACTTTCCTTTCCCTTCTTTCATTGTAAATGAGTGGGAAAATGTCATTGTTCATTATTTCAAATAATTTTACCAAAGTGCGTAAACCAACATTTGACATTATTATCGCTTATAACAAACATGCTAAATTTCAAAACGTGCCAGTATGTATACTCACGTATATCTTAGGAAATTTTAAATAAAAAACCGTATCTTTTTGCAGGTATACTTAGAAATACATCTACTTTAAGACCATGGTAAGAATTTTATAGGTTATAATTAAATGTTTTTTGAAAAATTTATAAAAATTATTTTAAAATAAATTATAAAAAAGGGTGAGTTTTTTATTTGGAATGAAAATAAATTTTGAAATGTGAAAAGAAGAATCAAATAAATTTACTAAAGAAAGAGATTATAAATATATACAATATTCAATTAACATGGAGGAGCTAAAATTTTGAGAGCTAATTATTTAAAAACTACTCGTGCGATTTTTACAAAACTTGACAGTTTGGCAGAATTTGAGTCATAGAATTGAAATATGGAAAAAATATCGATATTCTATTGCAGAAAATGTCCAATTTTGTGACAAAATACTTATATTAGAACAATGCTATCTATAAATCTAATACATATTCCAAATAGCACTTTCGAGACATGAAAAATGGAAATTGAATTTTGTCAATCGGTCCAGCAGAACGGTACATATAGAACTGACACTTTTTTTTTTTTTTTTTTTGCACAGTGTACGTTTGTATTTGTGGTGTACACACACATATATGCACATACATTTCTGAGTTCCGTCCCGATATAATTAACAATCTATCAATGAGTGAATATATTTAAAAACTTCGTTGCACAAATTTACTTTTCAAATTTTTTCTTGAACAAAGATATCAAAAGCCATTCTTTAATGGGGGGGGCAACCATTTTATATACTGTAATTACTTGTTTACATTATAAAAAAACACTATTTTTTAAAACCAAGGAAACAAGAAATAAATTGAAAAACTGAGATCACTGGTTTTTATGCTTGAAGTTAAAGGTTTCAACTTTCAGATTTAAAGATTAGTTTTCTTCACTATGAAAGTCAAGGAAAGTTTGTTTCAACAAGACTTTTATTCAGCAATAAAATTATATAAACAAGAATTTTAATCTACGAACTCTAAAAAAACTAGTTCATTAAATTATTTTAATGTGAAGAACTTTACACACTATATGTACAATAACTATTCTTTTGTCATGCAAACTTGATGCAGTCAATTTTTAATGCACTGTTACACACTGCATTGCATAATCTAGAAAATATTGTTTATTTTTAAATAAGAATTTTATTATTCCTATTTTATTATTATTGTCTGTTTTTCTAAAGTGTGTTTTGTCTTATTATTGTGTGAAGTTGGTAACTATATTTCTTTTCTTGTGTGGCAACAACGCTTCTGTAATTCTTCGATTTGTTCTTTTGGATGTGTGCCAAGTTTGATGCAGTAATGCTCTGGAGAGAGCGTCAGCTGATTGTGTAGATGAAACATGTTGTTTCAGAATGTTATTTCTTTAAAAATATGTAAAATAAATGTTTTGTTTTCTAACTTGGATTATGCAAACATTATTTAGTTTCAACATAAAAGTTTGGCATTCGTTTGACAGGACAGTTGTGTGATTTCAAGTGGAATTGTTAAAAGGAAAACGTAAAAGTGAACGTACTTTGTTTATGTTAACTATGAAGATTGTGGAAGAAGAATTGCCTATTTGTACGGATCCTGAGAGAATGCAAGTATTGTTAGGCAACTAATTGACAAATTTGAACGCCTGGACAGAACTCAAAGTAGTGTTTTAGAACAAACCAAGGAAGCTGATTTTGAGAATGAACTTAATATGGCTGAATAATACAGGGATTCCTTTATAGCTTTAAAGGTGGCACTTCAGAATAAAATTGGACAGTTGAATTCGATGAATGTTACTACAGATATTGCTTCAGTTTCGATTTCAGATCCTAAAGAAAATAAAAACAGGAAGTTCAAACTTCCTAAACTTGAACTGAAAAAATTCTCTGGAGATGTAAGAGAATTTTTAGGCTTTTGGAGCCAATTCTCAAAAATTCATGAAGATGCGGGTATTGTTCCGGAAGATAAATTTTTGTACTTAGTGCAAAGTGCAGTACTTTGTTCAAAGGCAGCTCAACTTTTGAACAGTTTTCCTGTTACCCCGCCGCGAATTATCCCAAAGCTATCGAGCAGCTGAAAGAAAGATTTGGTAGAGAAGACCTTCTGGTGCAGATCTATGTAAGAGATTTGCTTGGGCTTGTTTACAAAGAATGCTACAACAGGCAGAACAGCGTCAGACTTAGGAGTACTTTACGATAGTATAGAAAGTAAATTATGAGCGCTGGAAAGCTTAGGACGCACCAAGGAAAAGTTTGCTGATTTCTTGGGACATTTAGTAGAGTTGTGCCTACCTGAGAATATTTTACGTGAGTCGAACTTCTGAACAGGGACAGGAAAAGAGTTCTGAAAGAACGCTTGAAAAACTAATGTGTTTTTTAAGGCATGAAGTAGAATTGGAAGAAATGATTCAATTAGCTCAATCAGGATTTACTCATTCTGTTAAGTATGTTAATAAAAATGTTATTTCAGGTAGTTCAGATTTAGCAACAGTTGCTGCGAGCTGGTAAGTACAAATGAAACGCGCTGGTAAGTAAAACCAGTAAAAGTAAGCAAAATGTTTGTATATTTTGTGGTAAGCCTCATATGAGTGCTAAGTGTTTTAAAGCTGAAACTATGAGCTTAAATGAAAAGAGGCAAATTGTACAAAAGAAAGGTGTTTGTTTTTCATGTTTAAGAATTGGTCATTTAAAAAACCAATGTAAAGCCAATATTAAATGTCCCATTTGCAGTTGTGATCATATAAAATTTATGTGTCCTCAGAATGTTAGTTCTGTAAAACAAATGACTCTAAGTTGGATGTTTCCCTTTCTAATAATAGTAAGAGCGAGAAAGTTTATTTGCAAACTTTATGTGTTCTAATTAAAGTTAAAGATCGAGAGAGAAAAATTAGGATTCTCTTGGATTCGGGATCCCAACGATCATACGTTGGGGAGAAAATTATGAAGCGAATGAAAGCTGATCCTATTCGACAGGAGAAAGTAATTCATGGTTTGTTTGGGGGTGGGGGAGAGAAACTCAACCCATAACCCATTCTACTTTTGCTATTAACTTAAGCAGTTTAGATAACACTTTAAGAGGTTATGAAGCTTTTTCAGAAAAAAAAAAAGAGATGTGGATTTGTTCCAACAATTAAGGATGCTCAGATTATAGAGGAATTGAACAGCAGGAAAATTGAGGTCAGTGACACATTTTGCGAGGAAAGTGAAATTGATTTATTGATAGGCGCAGATGTCATTGGTAAACTGTTAACTGACGAATACCTAGAATTACCCTCTGGTTTAACTGCAGTCAAAACAAAACTGGGTTGGACGGTTATGGGTAAAGAAAATGATACTGTTAGGGATAATGCCCTAATAAGTCTTTCCCTACATGTAAATAATGCTTCTTTGAAATCTTTATGGGAGCTTGAAGTTTTGGGTATTTCCGATCCCGACGGAAAAGTAATAAACGAAAAATTTTCATTGTCATTGCGACTACGAGATTGATTTTCAGAATAAATTATCTATTTGGCCCGATGGTAGATATGAATTAGAATTACCCTGGAAATGTGAATCTACCAATTTATCAGATAAAAAAGCGATGCTTTGACACGTCATCAAAAAATTATTAAGAGGGCAAAAGAAAATAATTCTTTGAAGGAATATCAAGAAGTGTTTAGAGAGTGGGAAAAATTTAAATATTATAGAAAAGGTTTCGGAAAAGGAATTAAACAATAAATGCCACTTTTTACCACACAGACCGGTTATTAAGATGAATAGTGAAACCACTAAGGTAAGACTTTTTGATGCTTCTTCATGTGAAAAGAGAAAACCATCTTTGAATCAGTGTTTATTGAAAGGACCTAATTTAATAGAATTAGT